TCAGCATGTATCTGCTCCTTGGCTATTTCAGAGAGCTAGAAGAGGGATGTATATTCCTTTGATGTCATTAACAAGAAAGCTCAAACACTACACGGGTTGGGCGATCCCTTCCAAAAAGTCAACTAGCATACTATCATGTATGGAGTTGATTGCTGGCCAAAGTGACACATGACCACCATGTTTTCTAAGTAGGAATTCCCAGACAAGAGGATTTTATATTTCTGAGGAATGTAATATTCCAGTTCGAAATGGGTCAGGGGTTGTCTCTCCTCACTTATACTGGATACCTCCTAATGTCAGGTGCTATAAATATCTACCTCAGATTAGATTGTCATGAAAACAGAGGTTATGTTTCCTTACAAGGTCATGAAGATTTTTTCATACATGAAGAGTTTTATATTTTTAATCCCATCAGTTAGGTTTGGATCCATTCTGAGTTATTTTTTTTAAAATACTGTAGGTAGGGAACAACTTCATTCTTTTACATGTGGATATATAGTTTCCCAGCACCATTTGTTGAAAAGACTATGGCTTCCTCAGTGAAATGTCTTGACACATTGTCAAAAATCAATTGACCAGGCATTGATGGGTTTATTTCTGAACTCTCAAATCTCTTAATTGGTCAGATCCAATTAGGTCCAGTGCCCTTTGCAGGTAGTTTTTGAGGGGATCTTTGAGGTTTGTTCTGAACCCAGAAGGGCTTTGCTTTCCTTGATTCTCTCTGGTAAACTAGCTGTCCTGCTGTGATTCAACGTATCGCTGCCATGGATAAGCAACTTTTCTTAATAAAATCTCCCTTATTTTTCAGAGTGGTTTTAGGTTTGAACTTCTCCCAAACTCTGTTCTGAATAAAGGAAGCTCCTTTGGCAAGAACCTCAAAGCTTTTTATCTTTTGGTTTACCCCTTCCGCTGGTCAAAATCTCTGAGCCACTGCTCTGGAGCTGAGTTTGGGGACAGTTTTGTCTGCTTCTCTTGGAGAGACATCCTGTTGTATGAGCAGGGCATTGTACTGGGATGGCAACCTCTAGTCTTCTTAAATTGCCTCTTCACCATGGATTTTCTATCCTAAAAGTGAGGTGAGGCAAAGGTGATAAGGGTTCCAGGATTCTAGGTCTGTTGCAACTGAGGTAGGATCACTGCCTGCCTCTTCAGTGGGAGCTGGGTAGAAGAAGGGAGCCCTGTGTATTGGCTGCCCCATCTTGGGATTTAGCCTCTGCAACATAGAGCTAGAGATGTTATGAGAAATGTTGGCTTTCAGTTGTTACTGACATTTAGTAGATTTTCTTGAATAAATGTTTTCTTAATTTGCCATAGGACAATTTATAGAAACTTTAAAAGTTTTTTTTTTAAGTAATTGTCAACAGTTATAGCTATTTTGTTGGGGAGATGGAGTTCTTCATACTGTCATTCCAGAAGTCATCCTGTAAAATCTTTGGTTCAATTTGGTTTAGATTTTCTTTGAGACTTAAGAAGACTCTACATCTTAAGATTTTATGTATGTATAGATTTATTTTATATTTTATTTTATATTTTTAAAAATTTATTTTATGAGGAGTATGGATAACTTTGAGCACAGTTTTATTTCTGTTCTTTAAATACCAGAAAATTCTCCTCTACTTCTCTCCTTTGGATGGGAGAAAAGGAGAACATAAGGGACTGAGCCTTTTGACGATGAATAGGTTACACTAAGCCTATCCTTTGCTAGTGACAATTTCCTCTACTGAAATAGAAACCAAGAATTTAGACCCAGTGGTTTGTCCTCGTGATGTTACTTGTAGCCATGGGTACAAGTCAGGATTATGGTGGTTTGGCTACAGTTGTACCAGGAGGAAAACTCTAAGGACAGAAGATCTCTTAGTATCTATTCCTAGGAAAAAAAGGCAAGTATGAGTTCTGAAATAAGAAGTACCTGAACAATGACTCCAAATTGAATTTTTTGTTACAATCTAAATAAAAATATCATAGTATTCAGGAAATGTAGTTGAAGTGTCCACAGTGTGATGTAGGCAATCCACCTCACTTTAAGTCTCTGATTTTGTCATGGCCTGAGTTCATAGTCATGTGAAATTAATTGACTCAGGACATAATATATGGAAAGCATTCTGTAAACTGTTTTTACAAATGTTGATGACAAGGATTTTTCAATACCTAATAACTAATATGCATAATGAACCATTGCATTCACTGAAAAGAAATAGGATATATATGAGACATAGCCTCATGCTTGAAATGTTTACAATCTCACATTAAAATGTGCACAATAATAAATTACATGTGCAGCAAGCAATAAAGCCTCTGGAAGATTTTCTTGGTCAGGCATTACCAGGGAACCCATTACAGAAGATGTGAGGATTTAGATTGGTTCTTGAAAGATTTTCCAAAGACAAAGAGAAGAGGGGGAGAATACTCTCAGAAGAAGAACCAGCACAAAAAAGAAAAAGACAGAAATAAAGAAGGGAAGGAAGGAAGGAAGGAAGGAAGGAAGGAAGGAAGGAAGGAAGGAAGAGACATCTATTGCTCAGAGCAATAGGGTCACAACAAATTGGGACTAGGAATGAGAAGGGGTGGATAATTATCAGGGATGGGCTCCTGTCCCCAGCCCAGGATGGGATGCTAATAATAGTAGGAACAACATCATTCAAAATACTATCATTCTGATGTGGTACATGCAGGTGAACTAGTACCATTTTCAACCCATAACCAGAATTCACCTGCCTCTCTGTTTGCCCATCTTTCACTTATCATCTTGTGTTATCTATTAATGTGTAATGTGTTTGCACTATCTCTAGAGTGAAAGCTCCGAAGCATGAAGCAGGGCTCTTAGTGCTTTTTGTATCCAGGACAGAGTAGGTGCTTAGCAAATACCAAATCATAGAATCATGCCATAGACACCTCTGCCAGGGAGAAATGGAGTGGCACTGGAGGGAGACACATGTCTGAGGTCCTGATCTGGAATTGGCTGGACTTGGAAGTCTAGTAGGGTGAGGGACTGCTCAAGGACTTCAAAAAGGCTCACTTCAGGGAGTGGACAAAGCCAGATGCTGCCTCCTCCACTAAATGTGCCAATACTGGTGGGGTCAATCCCCAACAGCGTGATGGAATTCACTGTACTGAAAATGACTGGACTCTGAGACTTCAGGGGCCAGAATTATGAGGAGTGGTCTGGGGGAACTGGAGAGGTAGGGGGAAAGAGCCTCCAGAAAGAGTCCTCAGCCCTTGGGTAGAGGTGGTGTGGGTTGGGTGGTTGTTAGTTAACCTCAAGGAAATGCATTTGTGGTGCATGAGGTATCAGAGTGTGGGCTTATGTGGTATGAGTCTGGGTGGGGAAAAGGAACCGCTGTGATAGTAAGACAAGAGTTACTCTGCCCTCCCAGTGCTTATTGTCCATCACTCCTTTCTGAGGAGCAGTTAGGACTACTTCTGAAGCCTGACAGGGAGGAGAAGAGGGAAAGGGGGAAAAGGAGAGATAGGAGGGAGAAGGAAGTTAGGGAAGAAGGGTTCTGACCTCTGAGGTCCCATAACTCAGGTACTGTCTCCCCAGGGTCCTGTTTTAATAGGCTGAGAAAGGCTTCTTACCATCTCACCTTCTGTTTCACTTATATAGACTCTTCTTTTCGGCCAAACTACATGTCAAAGCCTGCCTCCCCCTGGGAGCCTTCTAAGATGAAGCAGGTGAGCCCTGGTAGTCTTGTCCTGCAGATTTACTCCAGCAGCTGTTCCTCTGGCCTTGTCCCACTCTCCAGTATTGTTAAGTTCTTACCTGTCATCCCACACACTGACCTTGCTCACCTTTGTACAATGTATGACTTGAAGTCTTTGAGGACAGCCCCTATAATCAGAAAATCCTTTGTAATAGCTCACCTTTTCCACTTACCTGTTTCCTGAGTCCCTACTGTGTCAGGCACTGAGAACACAGAGGAAGGCAAGACACTGCCCCTACCACCAGAAATTTCAACAGGATCTTTTCACTTAGCCAGGCATGTCTGCAGCTATTCTGAGACAGAAGCCTCCAGAAGTGAAAGACTGTATTTCAATGAGAATGTTCCTACCGTAAGCACAGCCACCATGTGCTGATGTCAATTTTCATAATAGATAAGTGAAAACTTTTCACTCTGTAAAAAGCTTTTCCTTGGGGTCTCTCTATAATTACATAAGCAACTCCACTTTTCATTAAGAGGTAGCAGGGTTTATGAATGTTTTGTTCTCCACACTATTCACAGCTTGATCTTTAAGGTGAGGTCCACCCACCAATTTCTCTGTACTATTTATGAAAGGGTGTTCCTAGAAGTCTTAGGTGGGGATACAAGAAGTTGAGATTTGGCCCACAAAACAAAAAACAAGTGGGTTTTTTTATGTTTTTCTCCTATTTTTTGTTCTCCCCACATGCAAAGTCTATTTTAATGGCACATAGATTATTCCATCCCACAAGTATTAATGAACATTTATGTCAAGGACAGAATCAGGCCCTAGGAATTTAGAATGATAAAGGCAAGATCTTGTCATCAAGTAACTGTGTAACAAAGATGATAGGACAAATATGTAGGTCACCTTGATTATGAGCAGCTAAAAAGTCTGTGAGAGGTATCTCTGACATTCAGAGGAGGGAGGACTCAGATGTGGTCTGGCAGACCAGGCAAGTCTTCATGGAGGTGGTGGCCTTGAGCTGAGTGGAAGAAAGCATGGATAGAGAGTAGGGGTGGACCAGAAGTGTCTTCCTCACACTTGGGTGGCATTTAACCTAGTCCTTCCTTATCAATCCTAGAGACATCTCCATAGTCATCATGTCCCTCTCAGGTCCCCAGAGATGTCATCTAGACTTGGCCAGTGTACCCAGCCCACTCAGGCCACTCTGAAGGCTATAGCCTCTGGTTGTTCACTCACATGGGATTCCTTTGACCCACATTCTGCTGCGTGCCACTGAGGAATCCAGTCCTGGGAATTGTGAAACATTCACATAAATAGTCCACTCACAGCTGTCTTCCAATAACATGTAACCTGAAGTCTTCACTGGAGGATGTATAAAAGGCCTCCAGACTCCTTCTTGGATGATTCGTCCACACATCCTCCTCTAGGGTGATACTACTTCTGGGTGGGGAGACACTTGGATGTCCCTCACCCAGGTGCTGCAAAAGCAGGCCTGATTTCTCCTCTCACCAGGTAAGAGAGCTTTAGGGAAGGGAAGTGGTCCCTGCAAAAGACCTCAAATTATTTAACATGGGAGAAAATTATAGAAGACAGAGGGATGAAGAGGCAAAGAAGATACAAGCAGGATTAGGACACTCAGAGCAAAGTAAGACTGAGTGAAGAAAGAGTAGAGATTTGCTTCTCCTTCACACTTGAACATGGTGGACACTGGCCTGGGAAAGTGGATGGTCTGCTCAACTCAGCTGCATTTTGTTTAAGAAGAATAAGTTATTAGCTTAGTTGTTGGTGAGTGGGTCCCCTGAGGGTTCCCACCATGGCTCACTCCCCCAATTTACCCTCTCAGACCCATTTCTGTCCTTCCTGGGATGGATTTTAGAAGGTTGTAAATGCCAGCTTCATTTTAACAGTCCCAGCCCATGGAGAAAGAATCAAGGCCCTGACCTAATCCAATGCTCTTTTTCCTTCCAGCTTCCACTCACTAGCCCACTGATGTCACAGCAGAAGCAGCAATCTTGGGAGCCCCCTATTGCTCCCAAATGTACCCCTCCCCAGTGCCCAAACCCCTCCCACCCTGCCTACTCTGCTCCTTTCTGTGACCTCCATCCAGGAGTCCAGGTCAGTGATTCCAGTTCCCAGAAGCCAGGGGATCAGAGTCTGGGACACTCTCAGAGGGCTCGCTGCAAGAAACCCTGCTGCCTCAGTGGTGCCACAGTCTACCATATCAAAGAGGAAGAGTGCTAAGGTGACTGGCCCGAAGGAGAGGGACACAGGTACAGTTTCTCTCTCCCTACCCAGGTTTCTGCTTTTATTCCGCTGGGAAGCTCAGGGTCCCCCCTTCTCATTTGGACTGGGAAACACTTCCTGGCCCCTATAAGCTGCACTCCTGCTCCTGTCTTCCACCCACTCCTTCATCTCAGCAACAACTTGGAGTTGAAGCTATGGCTGCTATGAACCCCTGAGATCCCTTGTAAGGGCTGAGGTGGAGGCTGCACCTTCTTCCTTCCTCCCAAGATGCTGACTGTTTCAAGATGCTGGTGATTCAAAGACACATGGTTTGAGATTTCTGTCTCTGTATCCTCATAGCTGTCAACCCATGTTGTTGCATAATCCTCGCACTGACAGCTTCAGTGTGGTAAGCATATGTTGAGCACCTACTCTATACTGTGCTCTGTGTTCCTCAATGTAATAGGAGATTTGTTCCTGTTCTAGAAAAGCTTACAATCTAGTGCGAGAAGCAATGTACGTTGTAGGTTGAAATATGTATAATAATAAATATAATTTTAAGGTGATTGACATACTTCTTTTTTTCTCACTTTGTATGAACTCAAAGGAGGAAAAGAGTACAAAAAGTCAAGGACAGAAGGGAGAGACTCATCCTGACGGTGCAGATCAAATGTGGTTTCCTGGGTCTTGGAAAGAGAAATCTGAAGCAGAGCATGCTGCTTGAGGGAGAACAGACCTCTGGGGTAGTTGTTTTCAACAAGGCTTTTAAAGACAAGCAGACTTTGGTGCTGGGTGTGGAACAAGGGGAAGAACTTTCCAGGTGGAAATGGTCCTTCCACATACAAGTGGGGTACTTGCCAATGACATGGGCTTCAACTTGGCTGGACTTCCAGGTGTGAGATGATCATATGAAACAACTCATAAGCCAGGTATGAAACCCCAGGTACCAAAGGACTGTACCTTAGAAGACAGTCTGGGCCCATGCCTAGGGTCTGTTGCCCCAGGGTAGGGCAGACTTGAAATAAAGTAGAGGTACCTGGGGGCCTTGAGGCTTGAGGCTCAATGTAGTTGCATATCAGTGTAAGTTCCAGGTGATAATTTTTAGCTGATTCCCATTTTCCTGGGGGAAACTGAAAATATGTTTTTAACTAAGTACCCAGCCCAATGAATTCTATTGCTTAGTCTCAGGGCAGAGTGTCAGCTTGTCTATGATTCCCAAAACACAAGATGCCAATTTTGAAACCTTAGCAATCCTCCTGACTGCTGTGACCTGATTTTGCCTCTGCTAGCATATATCTCACTATATAGGTATATAGATAGAGCATAATTGTATATAATTATAATTTTGAATGTGTAATTTTTCTCTCTAAAAAAATGATGCAGGGGCGCCTGGGTGGCGCAGTCGGTTAAACGTCCGACTTCAGCCAGGTCACGATCTCGCGGTCCGGGAGTTCGAGCCCCGCGTCAGGCTCTGGGCTGATGGCTCAGAGCCTGGAGCCTGTTTCTGATTCTGTGTCTCTCTCTCTCTCTGCCCCTCCCCCGTTCATGCTCTGTCTCTCTCTGTCCCAAAAATAAATAAACGTTGAAAAAAAAATTTAAAAAAAAAAATGATGCATACCCATATAAAGATGTATTAATGTAGATAAGCATAAGGAAGATGATTAAGACCAATCAAAAATCTTACTGCCTAAAAATAACTCCTGCTAATAATTTCAGGATCTATTTCCAAATTTTCTAAAGAAAGTCACAAAATGGGATAATTTCAGAATACTTTATAACCTGATCTTTTAATTAATAGTACAATTGTCAATATTCTTCTGTGCTAATAAATATTGATCAACACTATTATAGTCCATTATATGAATGCATCATGATTTGTGTAACGAGTTCCCTGATTCGGGGGACTTAATGTTGCTTCCATGTTTTGCCATAAACAATAATAAAATAAACATTCTCATTGGTGATTATTCTTAGTAATTTTCCTAAGATAAATCTTTAGAGTTGGAATTTTAAAATTGTCAAAGACTATGAAGTTTTTTTTCAGACTCTCCAGAAAGATTGCATGTTAGAGGCAATTAAAATGCCTCCATTTAAGAAAATCATTTTGGGGAAAGAGACTTATTTTGTTCAAGAGCAAGAGTGGGGGTGCCTGGGTGGCTCAGTCAGTCAACCTTCTGACTTTGGCTCAGGTCATGATCTCATGGTTCATGAGTTTGAGCCCCGTGTCAGGCTCTGTGCTGGCAGCTTGGAGCTTGGAGCCTGGAGCCTGCTTCAGATTATGTGTCTTCACCTCTCTCTGCCCCTCCCATGCTCATGCTCTGTCTCTGTGTCTCAATAATAAATAAATGTTAATTTTTTTTTTAAACAGAGTAAGAGTGAGTACAATGTTAAAAAATTACTATAGCTAAAGGAAAGATCCACTTTGTGGGGAAATAAAAATATACTTTCTGAGGAACTTACCAAGCATCTACCTATTGTACTGCCATGAAATCTGTACTTTAAAAAAAAAAAAAAAAAAGATTAGATGCCTTCTCTTTTTGAAGTGAAAAAGCATGCTATTTATTGTATAAAGCAGTGTCTTATGAATTTTGATATACCATTGGTTGCACTTCCATATTTGGCTGATAAGTTTTAAATATCCTTGATTTTAGATGTTCAGTTATGTTTGTGTGAGAGAATTCTGTGTGGAAAAATCTCATTTTTACCTAAGAAAAAAAGCAAAATGTCAACATTTGGTTGATTGTGTAATATCTAAGAATCTCTTTTCTTCTATTTTTATTTTTGTTCTATACAAAGGTAGACACTCACCAAACAACAATTTAAAAAAAAGTTTTGACTGAAACAAATTTTCTTTGACAAGAGTACTACTTAATATTTGGTCTCCTCAATTCTCCAGTCAGTACTTGGATTCCCCTTGGTAGCTGTTCAACTTATATATTATGCATACTACAGTGTCCAGTCTGCATCAAATTGATTTTGAAATTCCTACCTTGAAAAAAATCTACTAATTTGATCATTATTTTTCTTCATAAAGGTCTGCATTTGGCATCTTTGCATTTTCTAAATATGTCTGTACATCAAAAATGTTAATATTGTTAATTTTTTTTTGGTGTGGATTCAGTAAGATTTCATTTTAATATTGTACATTTACATTTTTTCTATAATAAATAATTAAAATGTAGACTTCACATTTTGTGCAAAACATCTTATATCCAAAATCTTATATTTATAGGGATATCCAAAACAGTTAAGTGGTACAACCACTTTTCTTTTGACTCTAACTACACACTTTTAATGAATGTTAAATAGTTATACATTTTCAACATTTTCTAATTAGGTAATTTTATTTTGACAGAGTATTTGATATTTAATATGTTCTTTTGTCTAATTTTTAAAAATTGTTACCGGAGTATTACATGGGCTAAGTGAAAAACATGTAAATTTTTTAGGAAAGCAAGCTATGATGTTTTAAAGAGTTCCTGGAGGGACTTTGAAAGACTCCTGGGTGAGCCATTCAACAGGGCTCTGTCCTCTTCCAACCAGTAGTCATAGCAGCCTTCCAGAAGGGACATTTTCACTTGGGAACTGAACTGAACCCAGTGGCCTCAGGTCAGGTCAGCCCTGCCTCAGAGTGCCCGGCTCCCTGTGGTCTCCATTTGCCATCGACGTTCTCTCACCAGCCTGGCCCCTTGGTCACCTCTAGGGAGGCTAGCCTAGCTTATGCCCTGGGTCCAGTGTGTTTTCAGCAGCTTACTTTACAACGTCTGGTGGACCATACTTTGTTACTACATACCATGTGTTCCATGATATAACACAAATAGTAATAAAAAGTCATTGCTTTATTTTTTCCTGTAAAGCTGTCACAAATAAAATATGAAAACAAAATCATCCTAAGCCAAAAGAAGCTATGTTGTGCTGATGTGATCTCTTATTTAATGGGAAGTCAGGAAATGTTGCCTCAGCTTGGCAGGTGAAGAAACTGGGTTTGAGTTATAGTATTTAAAGTTATAGCGGTAAGCCAATAGGAGCATGAAAAGTAAAACATGTCTAAATAAAAGGGAGGGTGGGATGGGATGGTGAACGTGGTCCATTGTGCTTCATTGGGGAAGTGAATAGATATGTCTAGAAGGAGACAAAGAAATAAATGCATACGCTGATTATTTAGAATGAGACATTTCTTTTCATATTACAACCTATTGGATTACCTGATTTTTAATTTGCATGTAAATGTATTACTTTATTTTAAAAACAAAGGAAATCACATCCCATTTTTACACACATCTGTGTGAATCTGAGGCCAAACCTTCCTTAACAGAACAAGAACATGTTCAGACCCCAGTCAAATGAAACCCATTTCAAATCTTTGAAAACCCTGTGATCTTATGCAAGTTTCTGTGCCTTTCTAGGCCTCAGTTTTCTCATCTAAAAATTAGGTGGGGTGCTTTGGTGGCTCAGTTGGTTGAGTGTCTGACTTTGGCTCAGGTCATGATCTCATGGTTCATAGGTTCAAGCCCCAAGTCGGGCTCTGTGCTAACAGATCAGAGCCTGGAGCCTGCTTCGGATTCTGTGTCTCCTCTGCTCACACTCTCTCTGTCAAAAATAAATAAACATCAAAATAAAAATTTTAAAATTAGGTAAAATAATAGTAGCCACATGAGGCTGTGGAGGGGATTATATATGATGTCATAGGTAACATTTTGACATATTTAGCTCAATAAATATTAGTTGTAACATATTTGGCATGCACTTAATTTTTTAATAGGTTTTTTATTTAGAATAGTTATAGATTTACAGGAAAGTTGCAAAGATAGTATAGAGAATTTCCCATGTTTACTGCATGTGGTTTACTCTGTGGTTCAGATCTTACATTAGCATGGTATGTTTGTTACAATTAAAGAATTAATATTAAGATATTGTTTTTTATTTAAAAATTTAAAAAAATTTTAATGTTTATTTACTTTTGAGAGAGACAGAGAGATCATAAGTGGGGGAGGGGGGGCAGAGAGAGAGGGAGACACA